CATCACAGTTTCTCTCACATCCCTAGGACGTTTCAAGTCTCCCCCACCCCACCCCGGTTTTCCCCTCGCGTCGCAGTTTCAGGGAGGAGTTTCAGAGACGGCTTTTCTTCTTCCTCCAGTTTACCTGAATTTTCCTCCCAGGGTGGAGCAGTGTGGAATGGGGCGCCACAGAGATGCGGGGGGCACAGACTGGGGAGGGAAGGGGGGAAGTTTCTGGAGCCCCTCTCGAGGAGATTTGGGCCTTGTAAACGGGACTAAAGGACAGAAGAACAGGGGTGTGCTCCCCTAGAAATTGTTCCTGAGGACCAAACCCAGGCGGGAAACAGACTCTAAGTCATCTCTCTCCACAGCAGGCTTCTGAGCCCCGGCTGCACGTCAGCATCACTTGACAGATTAAAAATCTGAGCTGGGCCCAGTGGTGCACACCTGTAATCCCAGCAGCTCAGGAGGCTGAGGCAGGAGGATGGGGTTCAAGGCAGCCTCAGCAACTTAGTGAGACTCTTGTCTCAAAATAAAAAGGGCTAGGGACGTACCTCAGTGGTTAAGCGCCCCTGGCTTCCATCCATAGAGTTGAAAAAAAAACAGTTTGTTATTTTTTTTCCTACCTGAGCCACTCCTGAGACTTCCAGTTTAGTCATTCTGGGCTCAAGGGTTTATTTTTGAAATAGTTTCATATCCACAGGCAAGTTCCATACGCCCTTCACCCACCTGGCCTCCCTGTTGACATCGTATGAAGCCTGGGTACATTGAACATGGACATGGGTGCAGTCAGTCCTCGGAACTGAACCACAGGTTTTCTTTGGGTTTTCCTGGGGTGTTTTTTTCTTTTTTTGGCAATAACGCTCTTGCTGCATTACAGGACCCAATCTAGGATACCAGGTTCCACACAGAGCTTTCTTTTCCCAATTTTTATTCTTACATAATTACTCATAGGAAGTTGCAAAAATCGAGGTTCCCACGCACCCCTTACCTGGGTTTCCCCTACGGTTATTAGCTAATTACAACACAGTATCCAAATCAGGGCTTTGACACAGGTG